GGGGCAGTATGGAAATGAATTAAATAATGCATAATCACAATGGAAACAAAAAGCATTTTAATGTCAACTCTCCCTCCTCTTGCCCTCTATTTGACTCTGCCTTACTGATGAATACTGATTGATACTGTGTTCTAGTGGGGATTATTGCCCAATATGTAATTAGTTTGAAATGTTATAATGTTGGAATTAGTGAAGCAAAGTGTTTGGGATGCTGATTACTCTGAAAATGTACTACTGTAACTGGAGTATTGGCATCCTTTCTTATTTTTGTATTGCGTTTGCATTATTAGCTGCTTGGGGCACATTTTGTGGGAAAGTGGCATGCAAATTATGCGATGATATTTATCATGCTGATGCCCGACCTTGTTTGAGATCACCTCACTGCTCATCTTCTGCCTGGTTCCTATTCATATCTATGATTGCTGCTCACTTTCGGCAACTGGAAAACCTGCACAACTTGTATGAGCTTCCCTAAGTTCAGTCTGCAGAGGGAATTTGAGAGGTTTTGAGAACGGGAGGCGGGGGTTTTGCAGGGAGAGGAAGGCGTACCTAGTTTGTCTCTTGCATGTATTTGATTAGCTTGTTGCCCCTTGAATTCAGGCTACGAAGCAGGCTAGAGCCTTGTCTGGGTGTGCCTGGGAAGATTGCTTTTATCTTCAGTGTGGGATTAAATTGGATGGTTCACTAGAAAGTAGGCATCAGCCGAGCATCTGCCTTGAGTGGGCAATAAAGCCTGTGTAGCCATTTCCAGACGGAGCACAGGCCTCTTTGTGGCTTGGCACAGCTCGTGTTCCACTCAGTTGGGCATGAAGCAGACTTACGGGGCCATGGCTGGCTTAATTGGTGCCCAGGGGCAGTTGCTGGTTGGTGTTTTGTGTCTTGCTATAAATGGCAGCGGCCACACAGAGAGGAGGACAGGAGCTGCCAAATTTCCACACGGGCAGCCCAAGGTGTCACAGATCTTTTCCCAACTGTCAATCAGTGTTGCAGCACAGTAAAGAGAATGCAGATCATTGCTGGTGACTGGATTAAAGGAAGAGGAAAGAAAAAACCCAACTCGATTCTTAGGGTTGATCTAGACGAGGGATGTGAAGATCAGGCCAGAAACTCACTCTCTTGTGCTTGCTGGAGTTCAGGAAGAGAGCCAAGCTGAGATTAAGCCCACAAATACTTGGGAATGCTAGCAGCTCATTTGCACAAAATACACTAAGTACATTCTTTTGTGCAAAGTAAGCAAATTGTGCCATTATTTGCACAAAATATGTAAAGCCTGCAAGTCAGCCACGTGGAGGCAGAACTCTGCTGGAAATTGTTTCCTGCTGGAAACCCATGCAAACACACAAGGAGGACTTAAGGCAGAGAAAAAGTAGGCTGGAGTCCAGGGAGTTGAGCTGAAGTCTGATGGATTCCCATCCCTAAACCAGATTCCTCAACATCCCTAACCTAAGGCAGTCTTCCCCCACTTGACAAGCAAAGAAAGGTGACAGGAAGAAAATTAATGCATTCGAAACATGGTGCTGGAGGAGAGCTTTCTGGATACCCTGGGTTGGCAGAAAGACAAACAAGTAGGTCCTAGATCAAATCAAGCCAGAGCATTCCCTAGAAGAAAAAATGACAGAGATGAGGCTGTCATAACTCGGACACATTGTAAGAGGGCAACACTCATTGGAGAAGACAATCATTGTTGAAGGCAGAAGACAAAAGGGAAGGCCAAATATGAGATGGACTGAATCCATAATAGGACCCACAGCCTTGAACGTGGAAGAGCTGAATGGAACTGCCATGGACATGACAGTTTTGGAGGGTTTTCTTTCATAAGGTCACAAGCTGGAGGTGACTTGATGGCACATAACAACAACAGGCATGTTGGAGTTCAATGACTATCAGCCCTAAGTGGTCAACGGTCAGGAACTGGTCAATAGCCAATGGTCAGGAATTCTTGGATTTTCATCCAAAACATCTGAAGAGCATCAGGTTTTGAAAGACTGATCTAGGACAATGGTGTAATAGGAAGCCCAGGTAGATTTGGTGCATGTATAGTCCTTTAAATCTATGTCATGCATACAGGAACTGTTAATTAACCACCGGAATATTGCACTTTAGCCTGCGTCAGCTATCATTCTTGTGAAATGCAAGAGCCTTGCTTCATCCGACCAATGGTCCACCTCTACTCCAGCTTCCTCTTTCCCATATTAGCTGTCTGAATTCTTCCAGGAAAACTATAGCATTGTGGGAAGGCATTACAGGAAGCTTGTTACTTTGTCCAGCTTTCTCCAACACTGCACCCTCCAGATAGTACGGGCTACAGGTCCCATCAACCTCAACAAGTGAATGCAGGAATGATGTGCAGCATACTTTGAAGACACCTGATTGGGGAAGTCTTACCTGGTCTTCTTCCACTGGCAGAAATTCCCCAAGGCCTTACAGAAAGCTTGGCCTCTCATCACCCACTTTTTGAAATTCACTCTTTGTATCCTTTTTAAAGGATGGTTTCTAGGAGATGAAATTGGGATTTATGCATGCAAGGAATGTGATCTGCCAGTGAGCTCTAGTCCATTTTGCAAACAAAGATAAGCAAAGATAGATTCCGCAGAAGAAACCTTATTTGAGGTTATTCTTATAGATCCAGGTGTTTTGTGTGTTCTGCATAATGATCATGGAGCTGCTTGCAGGCACTGGGACAGATTCTTCAAAACATGGCATTCCAAGGTGATTGCTTCAGAGTCTGAATCTGAAAAATTGGTGGGGATGGAATTCTTGGCTGAAATTCTTAGGCAGCATGCCCTGAGGTAAGCCAAGTGGCTGGCAAGAACCAGGCCACCCCTGCTACTGGGGGAAACAATGTTGAACAGGCAAAACCAGAGGAGGGCAGATGTAACTTGTTCAGTCCTTGAGCCCAATGCCAGAACAAACAAGCAGAGCCATTAAATGGCATCTGGCATTCCTGCTGTTTGTCCCACAAGTAGTGGAAACCTCCCTGAGGGTAGAGCTAACTCCATTTGGTTTGGAAGGGAGAGGGGGGCGGGGATCAGTTTGGAACCAACTTCTCAGCATGAGCTGAGTTTTCATAATTAGCTTATTTCCTAACTTGACTGATGCTTTTTAGTAATGACCTCTGCAGTACTCATTTTGTATCACAAAATGGCTGGCCTGTTTTCACATAATCAGGACTGTAGTGGGAAACCTCTTTTCTTGATCTACTTGGAAGAAGAAAGGAGAGGGGGAATAAGTGACCTGCAACACTTCTCTTTCTGAAAAAATCTATGGCTTGATTTCCACATTATGATGAGGGCAGCTAATTATACATTGCCAAGAAAAATAGATAAATAAAAGGACATGCATTATGACAAAAGAGGGTAAAGCACTGCACAAAAATTGCATGCACTGGTCTATATCCATAGATAAAATATTTGTTCGTATCCAGCCCCTTTTCCTCTTGCAAATGACCCAAGGAGGCTCACATATTCCTCATCTTCTACATCTGATGCTTGCAACATCTCTGGAAGGTAGTACTTGCCATAATTAAAGTAAAAACATGGCATACCCCACTGTCACGGGGAACACTGTGACCTGGTGATCCATGGACCTGCTCATTGTGTTGGTGACAATTTCTAGACTCCTGCTTCTGCTCATTCTTCTTGTTTTCAAACCCAACCCAGACTCAGATAGAGAATGCCTTCACACAGAGAGAGGACTGCCTACTAGAAAATAGGACAGCAGGCCACCCTAATGATGGTCAATGGGTAGGCTGCTGTAAAAACCTCTGCGAAGCCGCTCCAGCAGAGGATGCTCAAAAGCGCCACCCTATACATTCCTTAATCACATGAAAGTCGCTCCACATGAAAGTGGAGAAGGTACTTGATAGGTGCACCAGAGATGGCTCTATTTCTATCAATAGATCAAAGTTTTCATTCATACGTTTTCTTGTATCTTATATTTTTGATATTCACTTTGATCCAAAAGAATTTGCTTTTGAGAAAAATGGGAAGGGGAACTTCTTGGAGAACTGCTCATGGGTTCTTGTGAGTACCTTATTTGCAACATGGCTAAGGAGGATGTATCTCTTTCAGCATACAGCAGTCTCTCTTCACCTGCATTTATCCAAGATGCATCCAAAATCAGCCCTTAAAAATTTAACTTTCAGAGGATTTGGGGGAAAGCACTGATCCCTAAAGAATGATGAAAGCACAGCCAAAATTTCTCAGAGGATAGTTTGTCCTCATTAAAGCCCCCAAGTTTTCTTTTGAGGAAGGCCTTCTCTGCAGTGGTGCCCTGATTGTGGAACACCCTCCCCAGAGAGGTTCACCTGGCACCAACACTTCTGTCCTTTCAGCATCAGGCGAAAACCTTGTTATTCGCCTAGTATTTTGTTAATTTGTTTTAGTGGTGGGTTTATATTTTAATGAATGCTGGACAATTGTTATTGTTATTTTTTGGACTGATTGCTGTAAACCATCCTGAGGCTTTTAAGTATGGGACGGTATAGAAAAGTTTTAAATAAACAAATAAATAAATAAATTTATTTCTTATACCATAGAAATAAAACGCCATTTTGCAGAAGCTCTCTCTCTCTCATTCTCCCTCTCTCTCCCTCTGTGGCTTTCACCTCTGCCCCTAAGGCCTCAGAATGCTCCGAACTATAAGGTATTGTGCAGAATGCCAAACGGAGTCCAGGCTGGCCAAAACTGGCACCATCTCTGCCCTATGGAGTAGCAGCACAGGAAGCAAACAAAAGCAAAACCCCTTAGGAAGGAGTTGTGCTACAGCCCTTGCCCTGGTGCATCCTATCTGTGCAAAACCACTGGAAAATTTCTCCTCCTCCTGGAAAAAAAGTGCTGAAATTGTGCCCTCGCCCCCCATTTCTCTGCACACCGATAGGGTGGAGAATTTCAAGAGGTCATCTGCATGGAGCTCCAGTATTTATGCCATCACAACAGAGCAGATGCTGCTTCGCTTGTTTGCTTTACAGACCCACATGTTCTGTGTTTCATCTCCTGTAGCAGCCTGCAAAGAGAGCAAACGTCCCCTGGAAGTCTCCCAGCATTCCGAGGAGATGGGCCTCATTCTGGGGATCTGCGCTGGAGGGCTGGTGGTATTGATCATCCTGCTCGGGGCAATCATTGTTGTCATTCGGAAAGGGTAAGGCAACATTCCTCTGTCCCTTTACGATACTGCATGACTGGCAACTTCTACCATCACGCTCATTTGGCCACATTTGGGGCTTAGCCACCTTGCTCTGGTGGGGCAGACTTGGGTTGGGTGAGAAATTTCATTTCAGTTTGGTCTTGAGCAGGGTTTACCCCGTTTGCTCCTTTCCGAGCAAAAGGTACAATCTGCAGTCTACAGTCTACGCTTGCACATCTCCAAGCTTGTGGTGTCAGTCCTGGACATTGGAAGGAGTCGTTTGAGGGAATGGGTATATTTGCAAAATGTGCATGGGTGAAATGTGTTCGTTTGAAAAATATGCACAAATAAGTTTCAGTTGACAGGAGAAGATATGTGTACTTTTCTGAGATGTACGTAGTTGGAAAATTAGTTATGAAAATGCATACAGGTTTTATGGAAAAAGAGCAAATCTTATGATCTAATTCAGATTTGAGTCCAAACAAACCTTGAAATGGAATTTAGAAATGGTGGGTGAGCTGGAGTTATGCTCCAGATAGACTCCAAAAAAGGAAACGAGGGTTATTTGTAATAGCCAGAGTCATGGATCCGTTTCCTCTGTTTCTTCCTACTCTGATGTGTCAAATTGAGACTTAATTCTGAGCCTAGTGCATCTTCCCTTCCATTCCTTCTAGTCCTTCCAGGCCCATAGCTAAAACTGTAGTGGTGAAGTGATTTAAGGGGATAAGAAACCATGGCACAAGGAACCAGGATGCAGGGCCTAACAGTTTTAACCTTTTCTTGTCGTTTGCCATCAAGTCATCTCCGACTTATGGTGACCTTGTGAATGAAATGTCCCATTCTTGACACCCTGCTCACCTCTTCTGGGCAGCACGTACAATGGAATTCACTACGACAAGGTGTAGAGATGCCCGTCCATTTGGTCATGGACAATTTCTTGGAGAAAGCCACCAGTGGTCAATAACTGGGAGGGCTACATGCTACCTCTCTTAACCAAGTTAGTATGTCTTCGTATACCAGTTGCTGGAAATGTGGATGGGTAGGTGCTATTGCATCACAGCCTTTTTGTGGCATTTGCACAAGTGAACTAGTGTGTGAACAGCTGCACTAGATGGACACTGATATGATCCAGCATGGCTATTATTATGTTCTTGGCTTCTCAGCCCTGGAGAGGTACTGCCCGTCAGTACATATTGAGAGAGTTGGACTTGGTACGAGGCAGCTTTAGGTGTTCCTCCATGGACCTGCTGATGCATAGGTTGTTGGGACTCACACATCCAAAGGCACTCTCCATTGAGTGTAATATACTTAATGGTACTCCATTGAGTGCCATTGCCCTGCATGGCATTAAGTTCATGAGGCTGTGCATTTGGCTGTGCTTCCCAACGGGGCATTGATCCTTGGCAACAGAGATGCTTTCTCTTCTTACCAACATTTGCTAAGCTGGGGTGGGTGGGGGGCAATCTCACATTTATAATGCATGTAAAATGTACCCAGAGCAGGGTTCCTTGTTTCAGCTTAGACTTTTATATTTACAGGGCAAATCATGTGACCCAAAATGTGTTCTGTTCCAGTTTAGCCACACGGCTTGATATGCAGCCATCTCAAGAGGGAAGGTTATCAGGATGGGGCCTTTGGAAGCAGGTGGTTGCAAGTCAGAGATGGGCTCTTTGGGAGCCTTGTGAACTCCCAGGAATAAGTAACTCCCAGTGAGAATCAGACCTTTCCTGACCCTGTTCATCTTTTAGTGTCATTGTGCTTGGCTGGTTGGTTGAATTAGTGAACATCTCAGGCCCAAATATGCCAATCTCATTTATATATGCATATCTCATTTCTATTGGGAAAATACTTGAAGTTGCATCACTCACAAACTCAAACAGGAACACAATCACACTTTTGAGGGAAAGAGCATGTTTTTGTGCTTGTGATTGCCTTTGCAAAATGTGAACCTTAAAGGCATTTTTAAAATATATATAAAGGATGCATTTTCATGTTTCAATCAATGAAGGGAAAGTGTGCATACAGGGACATAATTAAAATGAGGTGAGCTGCACCTGCTGAGGAATGCACACTGCTATTATTTGGGAATGAGAAGGAACATTTGGGAGTGTGCTCTGAGATGGAAAACTGAGAATCCCGATATGCTTGAATGTCACTCCTTTGAACCAGCTTGGGGTTCTAATCTGGTTATCTGGGGTTCCCCAGAAGGTCTTGCTGCTCCTTCTTTCCCCCTGGTGGCCTTCTGTTTGGTGGTTTCCTAGCTTCCATATGGTGTTTTCCCATTCCAAGGGGGGAAAACTCTCTCCTGACCCTCTCCCCTAACCCTCTCCTGAGCCCCAGTTCCTGGCGCCTGCTGTCTGAAGCAGAAATATGCCAGCATTTGTGAACTTTTAAGCCATCATACTTTTCCTTGGGCCATGCTGACCCCTGGCTTGTGACTCCCAAGAACTTTGTTGAAATTGAATATGGCTGTTGGAGGTAGGGGATGACGTCCATGTGGACAGAGCCCAAGTGCATTGCCTTCGCACAGTGGCAAAGCTAGAATCCATGTGTGGTAGACAGAAGCTAAGCATTTAGAACAAAATGCCAAGTTTCTTCTACTTCCCTACCATTTCTGACGTTTCTTTGGGTCAGTATGCTGGTGACTGAGTTCTTGAGGGCTGTAAGCAAGAAAACTGTTTCTGCTCTTGATTAATCTGGGAGGTTTATTGCTCTGAACAGGAAGGATTGAGAGGGACCAATGTGAGCTTGTTTACGTGGACACACTAGAGCTATCCTCAGCGTGGTGTCCAGTGGCACTGCGGCTCTGCCCCTGCCTCTCCTCAGCCCTGGTTGTGATCAGCCTGGGCAACTGCGCAGCATGCGTCCTGCAGACTGCCCTGAGCTGTAGATCAAAGGCAGGCAGGGGGCAGGGGGACAGGTCAGCAGTGGCTGCTTCAAGTTCCATCTATATTTCATTAGCTAGCATTCTGCCTGGGCAGGCATGATCCCACTGCCCTTTCAGGAACATAAAGTCCCAGGCAAAGGAGCTGTTTTTCCAAGCAGCCTACCAGGGGATGCCAAGCATTGTCTAGGCACACTGGGACAGGCTGGCAAGAATAGAAGAGCTGGCTGCTAAGGTTGGATGGAGTCACACACACACGAGTCCCCTGTGGATTCCTTTCATGTCTTCTCTCCCATACATCTTACGTGTTTGTGCCCCATGCTCTTCGCTGCATGACCGCTCATACTTTAGTGGCAGGAGAGGCCATTTTCTTTCTTTAAAAAAAGTCATTTCCAGTGACAGAAAGGAGTTACAGAGATGAATATTTGGGAGCTAAGCAGGGTTGGGCCTGGTTGAAATCTGGATGGGTGACTTAAATGCAGTGAACTGTCCAGAGAGCTTTCAGCTACAGGGGATATAGAATAATAATAATAATAATAATAATAATAATAATAATAATAGTAATGATAATAATAATAATATGAGGAGGAGGAGCATGGAAGCTGCATATGCTGGGCTTTCCCATACAGAGATCAATGCATGTGAGTCTGGTACTGCCCCAGTGTAGTGCTGAGCTGAAATAATGTCTAGTTTCAGCATCCTGTTTGTAAGCTGTAAAGGGAGGGGTATGTTGCTGATCAGGGGTGGGTGTCCAGACCAGAGGTAACATACTGGGTGAACTCATTGGCAGCAGCAATGGTGCTTTGGGCTTCAGATAATGGATGCCCTCCTCCTTCTCCTCCTCCTCCTCCACCCTGAAGACCCTAGAATTGGAAAAGCATAACCATCCCTCTGAATTGGCTTTTGACACCTACTACCAAATGATGTCTGAAGCCAATTCAGAGGGAAGAAAATGCTTCCTGCACTCACTCTGGAGTCTTTTGGGTTGAAGGAGAAGAGGAAGCGCTCAGTAGTAGCTGGGAGCAGAATCTTTACTAGGACCATGAAACAAGTAGTACTGAAAATTCCAGAGATGGATGGGGGTTGGGATGGATTGCTTATGAAGCCCTTTTCCCACAGTCCAGTTCCAGGTTGCTCACCTCTAAGTGTTGCTGAGAATACTTGGATTAAAAGTTGTGGAATGGATCTTGGTCTATGTGCCCATGGTGAGCAGCCCTGAGAAGATGGAGATAATCCTGGCTTCCTCCAGATATTTTGGCCTACTGTCTCCCAGAAGCCCAAACCACTTGGGTCAAGGGAGTTGCAGGACAAAACATCTGGATGGACGCCAGTTAGAGGAAGCTGATCTGGATGTGATACTAGTTTTCCTGTGTCATTCGGTAAATGAAATGTGGCTGGAGAGGAGGAGTATCACATTATTGTTGCAAGCTGGGGATATCTAGCACTCTCTCTTCCTTTGAGTTTGGCTTGGAAACAGCTTCAAAACCTTCCATTAAGAAATACAGGTAAAACCAGGTACAGCAACGGGGCAGAAGGGAAAATAAAGCAAATAAAACCCAGTATAAGTGGATGCTGGAAATGAAGTCAGAGTTTTTTATTTGTGCATTCTTTTGATTGCATCACCATCCTCTGGTTTTACTTCTGTTTTTTTAAAATAACTCTTTCTTCATTTTATTTTATTTTAAAGAGCAAGGAATGTGGGGCATTACTTTTGAAAATGAAAGACAAGGTATTGTCCCATTTATGTAATTATGTTATTTCGCTATTGTACAGCATCAGCTTTGTTAAAAAGCAAAAAAGGAAAGCCCCTTGTGTAGTGTTTGGATGTCAATTCTGCATCAGGACCAAAACCAGATAAAGCCTCTTAAAAGCCTGGTGTAGAAAAGCTCTCAGCCCCACAATGCGGTTTGCGCTGCAGAAAGAGAAGGATCAAAAAGGAGAGAAATGTAGCCCCCAAATAGTAGAAGCAGGTTCTAATCCATCAGTGGATTATTCTGATGGATGTCTGGATACAAACCTATATGGCATTTCTTGCCGTGAAGGCAAATGCATGCATTTTGTTTTGTTTCTCCTTATGAAGACCAATTATATGCATGGAATGCACTCAGATTTTCTGCCAGCTTGTCAATAC